GCGCCAGGCGGAATGTCTAATTGAGAGCCTAGTTGCAATGGGTGCAGAGGGAGCAGTTCCCTCCGAACGTACGGATCCCTCTGAATCCGCTCGGACCCAGTTGGTTCCAGCTCCACGCCCGTCATAAACGGCAATTAGCAGGGACAAAATGGCAAATTGGGTCAGGGGGCTGCTAATTGCCATAAATATGAATAAAAGCCGGCGCTGTTTGCCGTTTAATTAACATTTCGAACACGTTTTCCGACCGGCAGGCAACGTGTTATACAAATCCGAATTAGCATACTCACGCCGGGCAACTGCATAAAAGGCCAAAACAGAAATAGCCAACTGGCCGCTAAAATAGCCGGCCACCACCACGACAAGTTCAAGTTCAATGACATCGAACAATAATAGGGAAATACCAGCAGCAGCAGCAGTGAAGAAACAGCATACATAATATGAGCCATGATTATGGCATCCACATCCACAGCTATATCTACGGATTGTAGACTCCACTATATGGTAGAGGTGTCTGTATCTCTCTCTCTGTATATCGTCATGAGAAATCTCGAGTTGTATTGTATTACGTATGGTCGAGTTGAGCCGGCGTTTTGCTCTACTAAACAGCGAGATATTCATTTGCATTTCCAACTCGAACTGGCACTGTGGGTTCGCCCCTGCCGAATGGGAATTACAGCAATCATCGGCGAAACCATTTCATTGTCAAGGTGAAAGGTGCACGAATCCGAGGCGTTAATAGCCAAATTGTGTAATTGCAATTGTAATTCTTCCATTTGCTTTGGGTTTTCGCTTTGGTTTTGGGATTACTGAATCGGTTTTCGGTATTCGGGTGTTGGGAATGTGAATCTCTATGTGGAAACCTTACCGTTACACACTTCAAATTGCCGGCAGTTAACCGCAAAGCTTATTTACTTAAGTGAAATTAGCCCCCGACCTTGTCGCAGGAAGTCGGGAATTTAAAGCTGATAAAATCAGAAAGAGCTGCCTGCCACTCTGCTGACTGCCTCTTGCCACTTGCCTCCTGCCTTTTGGCTTCTGGGTTCTGGGTTCCTCCCTCCGAGCTCCTCGGCTTCCGCCTCCGATTTCTGGTTCACACGCTGCTCCGACTTCTGGCTTCGGCTTCTGGCCATTTAATTGGAGAATCAAGTGCAGCGCAGCTCTTGGATCTCGGATCTTGGAACTCGGAACTCGGAATTGAGGCACCAGATCTCGGCGGCCCTTTGGCGGCGTGGTCATTGCCCTCGCCCCCTCAACAAAAAGAACAGAGACTCTAAATGCGGCTTTTGGTTGCGTGGGTTGGATCAGCGCAAACTAAGTGGCTCTGCGAACGGGCATTTAAGCCGAACAAATGTGTCTTTTATGAGTGTCTCGAGTCCATGGTCAATTTTTCATATCAACTGGGAACGCGACTTAGTAGGAACACTCAGCAAAAAGAACGCAAGTCGGCAATAAGATAATTTATTAATTTATTTATAAGCAAAAAAAGAAAATAAAAGGGTTATAGCTAATAAAAATGTAAAGAATGTTTAATGAGAAATCCCGTTAAGTGATACATTTATTTAGAAAATAAATTATAATTAAATACTTTTCTTAGAGTGTAACGCATCAGTCACAGCTCAGATTTGGCTTCACATCGTGCGATTTTGACAAATAGTTGAAAATCTGGGGGAGGCGACTTTGCTGGGCCAAGTGATGCATACCGAAACGAAGTGAAGCGAAAGTCTTAAGCATAAATGCTTATTTATGGCCAAGAGTCAATTGGCCTGGCTGCTTGGGAGTCGGGAGTCGGGGGAAAAACTGACGATGGGCGGGATTCTCTAATTGTGTCACCGTCGAGAGTTTCACCGCCCCACTGGCGAATCTCTCACGTTCGGGAGTCTTGACATCGCGGGATTTTCGATCGGGGGATTGGATACGATATTGGTTGTTGGTTATTGGTTATTGGTTACTGGTTACTGGGGAACCCAGAGGCCAGAATCCCAGGGAGACTCGTTCTCGGCGGAGGAGGTTCGAGCGGGTTGGCCCGCAAGTTCGTGATCTCCGGCTGGCGTACTTGTTCTCTAAGTGGCTATGAAATTCCTCAGCCACGCAAACGGCCAACACATCTTGGCCATCAGAGCCACCGGCCATCTTGGCCATATCGGTCAATGGTCAGCGACTTTCGGCCGGTTCTCCTCTGTTTGCCCAGCCAACATTGTGTGTGGATGTGGCTGAGGATGGGGTATGGATTGTAGAATGGGTTGTGTGTGGAGTGTGGAATGGGTGTTTGCATACGCAGATACAAGAGGTATTTACGAGGAGGCGGAGTGTGGAACCCGGCAAACCGTTGGCACTTTCAGCGCGATAAGCCCGATAAGCCGGATCCGCCTTACCAATGGCCACTGGCCAACTGATCCACCAACTGGCCACTTGACATTGAACCTGGTCCGTGGCAGAAACGTTAATTATATGCGCGTGGCCAAGACGATGACGGGATCTTGATTAACTGCGATGCCCAGGGCCCCGCCAGATGATGGAGATGATGGCGATGCTGCTGATGACATCAGCGGGTCGTGCAATTAATATCAAACCATAATGATGTGTACCTGTTGTGTACCTCGACTCTTAGACTCTTCGACTCTTAGAGTCTTAAAGTCTTGAAGTTTCTTCCTGGCTGGAAGTTCTGGCCGTTCGGCTAATACAAGCTAATTAGGCACATCGGCGAAACATCATCATCATCGCATCAGGGCTCTAATCTCCAACTCGGAGTGGAGCTGGATGCTTCCGCAAAACGGCCATAAAAATAGAAATAGAGATGGGCCCCGTAAAGCGGCGATTTATATGCGCAATAAACAAAAATATTGAAGATCTTCGTGCGGCGCACTAATGCCTTTGTAATTGGTTATAAATTAAGAAATCACAAAAACTGCCGGCCCATTGGCATAAAATCCATCCGAGTGGCGGAATCGGATAGCGAAGGGTTCACTGACCATCGCATCTCGTTGGACGGTGTAGGTGTCAAAAAAAGGGGGAATCTGGCCGATCAGAGGAGCTGATGTTCTGGGGAGCAGGTGTTCCTCTTCTTTTTTATATTCCCCCCAACGATTCTTTAATAAGCATGAGAAAAACAAGAAACGAACTCACGTTCGAAGTTGATTGATGAAAACGCCCCATCGAGCAAAAAAATACAAGATAAAATTGCCAAGCCAGAGCCAAATTGAAATTGGCGTCGTCGCTTCGTGGCTTATAAAATAATGATAATGTGTGGCGGCTACCGGTTGGTAAGAAGATGTTCATTTACTTTTATTTTTTGCTAGCTCCTCTGCCGACCTTGAGCTTGAATTAAGGCTCGAACTTGAGGGCCAGCTGAAATTGCATAACCCCTTGAATCGTTTCGGATATCTGAGTTGATGGCTGCGCAAACAATTGGCATGGATCGATGGATCATTCGATGGATCGTTGGATCGGAGCTGCTCTTTGTTGTGACGCAAATGCCACTTGTTGTGAAGTACTCGTTATTATATGATATATAATATCCGAGAAGAGGAATACCTATATGCCATTCGACATTCGCGTTAGTTCCATTGATTTATGGCTCGCGGCTGTCAGAGGAGTTAGAACTTGTTGGATAGTCCAAGATACAAATCTGTATCTGTTGAGTCATGCTCAAATTCCATAATGGAACAATTCAATTACCGGACCCTGCTGGGAAACTCTCCTCACCCAGCCGGAGTTCATCAAACCCAATGGAGTGGGGATTCGAGAGGCGGAGGAGCGGAGTCCATTAGGCCGCTTTTTTTTTGTTGTTGGCCCGGCTTGTTAGTGTTACCGATTTGTGACTGTGTGTAATAATCAATAAGTAGGTGAGAAACCCCGGCGGGGCGGCCCATGCCCAAAACACCATGGGCTTTCGAGCTCTCCATCTTTTCCGCCGAGCCCATTCACAAAGAGAATTCTTTCCCACTTTATTTCCCCTTTGTCAGAGATCCATTTCCATATGCAGCCGCACGGTTTCGGACATGTGTTAATGAAAATTCCAAGAACCCAGAATACCAGAATGCCTCAATGCCAGAATGAATGCCTCAATGCAGGCACCTCTGTGCTGGGCTGGAGTGCTGGTTATTGGATGGTGGATAGTGGATAGTAGAGTGGTGGAGTGGCGGAGTACCCACGAATGTGGGTCAACGAGCCGACCATTGTCGCCTATCGTTTTGACTGGGCCAAATCAGTCAGCGGGCTAAGAAAGCCACGCAGAGGTTCGACTTCTTCGACTTCTTCGACTGTTTCGACTGTTTATTGAAGGCCCATTAAACAATGGCTCCGTCGTCTTGGAACTCCGGTTATGGACCGGATGATTGGTGGTGCCCGTACCCTCGACTGGCAGTAACTACGCCTCGCTTTTGGTTTTTGGGTTTTCGGTTTTGGCATTCGTTGACCGATATTCTGTTCTCCATTTTATTCCTCTGTAGGTTCTGTTTAAACAAGTCGTTAAATCGAACACGCCTGTGGAAACCAAAACCAAAACCAGGAAGAGCAAACCGAATACCAAACATTGTTGCATCGCCTTTTATTATTGCCCAACTAAATGTGAAAGTTAACACATTGCTCACTTTTGGGCAGATGAGAAGTTGACGGAAGATGCAGATGGGTAATGATTCTGTGTGGTGGAGGCCATTAGCACTTGCCTTTCAGTTCCACTCGATTTCAATTTAACATAAATGAATTTGAGTCACCCCCGAGGAGCAGCTCTTAATTGGGTTTTCTAGCCCCGAAATGCAACAGACTTTCGGGGTTTCGGTTTTTGACCCCTGACCCTGGACAAGTAGCAAAGGCAACGCCAGCTGTTGGCCAGCAGCTGAGGGCAATTTGCCACAATGGCCTTAATTAGTGCGAAAATCCATGGACTCGCTGGCGATTTATGGCAAAGTAATCAAAACAGACGAACTCCGGCAGATGGGCAGTACTTAGCTACTTACTCCGCTGGCTAAACGTAATTTATGTTGGCATAATAAACCACTTACCGGCTTGGGCGGGTATCAGGACCAAGGCCAGAAGGACGAGCGCCATGCAGAGCAGCTCCTCGAGTCCCGGCGGACTCGAACGTCTTCTTGTCATCTTGTGGTTGTAACTGCAATGGACAAAGGATGGGGGATTCCCCAGTTTAGTACGTGATAACAAAGGATTTGGGAGAGTGGGGAAGGGAAGGAGTAATGGAAGAGGGGAACATTCTTGCGGACAGGCCGTTTAACCCTTAAACAACAATCGAATCGGGCGGCAATATGTTCCTTAAACGACTGGCACTTCATTAAAAAAGCATGACAAGGCGCATGCCGTCCTCAAACCTGAGCATCTTTATTTATTTTTCCTCTTTAGCTTTCGATTTTTTTTTTGGCTTGGTTCGGTTTGGTTTGGTTTTCAACATTTTTCAATGGCCTGCTCACAAAAGCAATTTACGTGCACAAACAGCAGAAAAGCAGAAATTTCGGGGCGGGTGGGAGAGTTGACATGTGAGCCACCGAAGGACCAAAACCACCACTCGTGGTGGTGGTCACCCCTCCCCGAATGTCCTGCAATGCGATGTGATGTCCTGTTCTGTTCAGTTTCGTTTCGTTTTTGGCTTGCTCCTGACTGACTGGCTGTTTTTCTTCAATTGTTTGCGGAAATCACTTGTTTGCCGATTTGACAGATGTGCAATTTTCCCTGACATGCCCAACCCTCTGGCGAACCTCCCCATCCTCCATCCTCCATCCTCCTCCTCCTCCTCTTTATTTTCGGAGGTCAGAAATCGCCGGGATCCCTATCTCTGTTTCCTGTACTCTGTACTCTGTATCCTGTATCTCGAAATGCCAAGTTCTTGGCTGCTGATTGAAAATGTCAGGCACACGCAAAAAAGAAAGAAAATAAAAGAAAACTTCCAGAAATTGGACACAACAAACTACCCCGACTACCTTTAGTTTTCCCCCTGTTCTCCCAGTGATCCCATCGTTATAATTAGCAGGCGGCGACCGCCACATATCACGGCTTATCGGTTGACAACTGGCCAACTTAGAGCGGATATATAGTAAAGTCGGTCTGATTTTATTGTCGCCCCATAATGGCATCGAATGGCATCGAATGGCCGGCCACACATACGCTTCATATTTTCATTTATTAGCCCAGTTCGCTTGTCGGCTTTTATTTGCTTTATGCTGCTTTAATCAAGTCCCAGGAGATGCAACACGTGATTCCATCGAGGGGTTGCTGCCCCAAAAGGTTTCCTCTTCCTCCTTCTTGGGAAATCCTGAAGGCAGAAGGTGAGGGATGTTTGTTTGCTGAGTGCCTGCCTTTTGGGGGCGTGGCTGTTGGGCATGTTATCCAATTTTATACATTCCATAAAGCAATAAAACTTCCACCTAAGCACAATGGGCTAAGGAAGTGGCAGAGTGTTGAAATTAATGCTCGGATTCTGGGCAGCGATAAGTGTAACGAAATATTTGAGTTCCGGTCTCATTGGGTTTTTACTGGGAACTTCGTGTTGGGGTTTTGTTTTCACTTAAAGGGACAATCGTAAAAAGGGAATTTTATGGAGTTAATTTAATGACCTTCTTACTTTTGTGACTCATAAATTGAATACCTCTTTTACTTGTGCTATAATTTACTTCTTATGTTCCTCTTTAAAAATAAACCATGTTTTATTATCCCAATTATTATTATTTTTTATATAATAAATCTGATTGTTAGCTGCAATAGTTCTTTCCTGTTTTGTTGTACAACTAAATACTTCTTAAGTTTGATTATAAAGTCCATAGTACTTGTCATAGTCTTATACATCTTGGTTTCTTTATAGAGGGGGCTAATATCCAGCCTCTCCTTCCGCGACTCCTTTGAAATCCGAGAGGTTTCGGTTTCCCCCTCCGACGGCAGATGGATTCCTCCACTCGCTCGCTAACGAAACAGGCAAATAAAAATCGGCTAATGCTCGACTCGGGTTGGGGCTCATCATAAATGCGCGAATTGTGCTCATTAAAATGCAGGCGAGTCGAGGGGGAGGGGGGAGCCGCAAATAGCATTGCTGCGTGCCGTGGCAACAGCAGAAGTAGCAAGCAACAAGCAACAAGGGGTATGCAACACACGAAGCCGCCTCGGTCAGGTTGAAAGATTGCTCCACGGATGTTGGATGCTGGTGGCTGGTTGCTGGATACTGAATGCTGGATACTAAATGCTGGATGGATACTGAATTCCGACTTCTGGTGGCAAGAAAGCAGCGTCCTCGTCTCCAGGTTTTCAGCTGGGGAACGCGGCATGTTGATGACGAGTTGACATGACGAGCGACAATAACAATAATGATAATCTCACTCTGGCGCGATTCTAAAGATGATGATGATGATGATGATGATGTGGATGGTTAGCCCGACTGACTGACAACGGAAGCGACACAAACTGGCTATTAGTTGCCGGCCAAAATGGCACTTGTTCTAAAGCTATTAGCAACACACGAGCAACATGTTGCTGCCAGCCAGCAATGAGCAACGAGCAACAAGCGAAGAGCAACTGGCAACCAGCAAGCAGCAACTTGTTGCGGTAATTATTCCGCTGCGGCTAAATGGTAAACAATTTTTATTCTTTCGTATTTGTGCAGCACTCAGTATTTGGGTTAAGACCAAATAAAGGGGTGGTCACCAGCTGCCGCAGTGGCAGCCATGTGTGTGACACAAATTCAATTTGTGAATGAAGTGGCCAAAAGCCGAAGCTGCTGGCTGCTGGCTAGCAAACTCTTACCCAAAACGAGGCAGGCGCTTGTTAACTTGGCCAACCAACTTGGCCAGGGGCGTATATCGGTCATGGGAAATTTGCAAGATTTTCGGGGGAAAACCTCCGGCAAGGGCGATGCAACGCCAGATGCAATGCATCTTCATCCCACAATGGTCATGTGTGCGTTATGAAAAATGTATTCAGGTCCCGGAGCTGATGGCTCATGCGTGAAGAGGAGGTTCTCTATTTGCATGGCGCAGACCCTGGAGACTGGGTAACTTGGCCAGGTCGAAATGCCCACAAAGGGTAGCCTCTGGACAGGCTGGGAAATTGCCAGGGGAGCAGTTGCCAACCGCGCATGCGTGGAGCTCCCAGTTGCAGTTTCAGCAGTTGCAACTCCCAGTTCTCGTTCCCCATTTCTCATACGGTGGGTATATGGTAGTATAGTAGGCATAGGAGGAATAGATCCCCAGTTGCACAAATTGCGAGCCAGCTGCGCGGCTCTAATATAAATGTATGGCACTCGGGAGCCGCGAACAAACGAAAATTTACATTTTGCCAAGGCAGACGGCCTCAATGGAGGGTGGGAAAATTTCCCATCCGAACCAGCAGCCATGGGCAGCATTTTGACAGTCGGGGCACGAGTTCGGAAAAAGGGGGAAAACTAAGGGGGAAAACGAGGGGGAAAAGGCAGTGAAAAGCCTTCGTTAGCATATCAAAAGGTGTCTCTTGTCAGAGAGCTATCTTGTGTCGGCTGTCGTGTCCGCTGTCTTCTGTCCGCTGTCTTCTGTCTTCTATCTTCTGTCCGCTGTCTTCTGTCCGTGTCTCCACGAGATTTGTACCATGACCCACAAATACACTTTGGCTCACGCATCTAACGACGACCCATCGACATCGAACTCAAAGTCGGACTCGGATTGGGATTCAGAATCGGAATCGAGCAGATCGCAGCCAAGAGATCGATGGCAATTTGCAATTTGCAAGCTGCAACTGTGCGGCCTGCCGCTTTAATTGGATTCTGGCCGGTATCAAATTGACATTTAGCACACAAACTCCAGCTGGAACTGCATAAGATGCGATACGATCCGAGCCGATCGGTTCTGATCCTGCGATCCCCATTCCCGAGGTCCCATCAGAATGCCGCAGCTTTGACCCCAACCTCACGCGTTCTTCTGCAGAATGGTGATGGTGATGCTGATGGTATCCCCATTCCATTCGATTCCATCCAATCTAAACCCATCCCACTCCACTGTAGTCCAGTCCACCCAGCTTATCGCATTACACTTCTTCGATTGCAATTGCAATTGCAATTTCTGTTGCTGCTGTTGCTGCTGCTGATGTTGCTGCTGTTTTCGAGCGGCGTTAATTTGGTTTTGTGTTCTTCGATCGAGCGATCGCAGTGCCACACATTTAACGGTTCGCAGGCAGCAGCAATTGCAAATTGCATTTTTGTTATTTTATTTTTATTTCACTAGGGTACTTGTGTTCTATGCACAAGGAGAAATTTAGCAATCAAATTGCAAATGTCTTTAAACTGTTTTTAGGTAGAAAATCAATTTAACCCATGTCATTGTTAAAAGGTTATTTTAGGTTTAACTTGGGTTATTAGTGGTAAATTATTAATACTATTAAAAACCCTATTTAATTATATTTCCAAAGATGTAGTGTTCATTTTTCTAAGTGTTTGGTTATGCACGTCATCCTCATAAATCTTTTGTTGCTGCTGCAGATCTTGTTGCTGCTGTTGATGTTGCTTCTATTGATGTTGCTTCTATTGATGTTGCTGCTGTGGATGTTGCTGCTGTTGATGTTGCCTCTAAACCCTAACACGTGTGCCTATCTATCGCCTATCGACTCTACAGCATAGTTGTGGCCAATTGGCGGCCAAATTGCTGTGGCTTAAGTCCCGGATTACTGCCAATTTGCAGTTGGCCTCCAGGAATGTGCGACCTTGCAATTGCAATTGCATCAGGCACTTCGATGTCCGGCGATTTGGCCGCGACAATTGCAGAAAGTGTGATGGAAATGGGGTTTCGATGGGAGATGGTAGATGGTGGATTGAAGATTACGTTTTGGCCACATTGTTAGATGCAAATCAACGACCCCAGGCAAATTTGAGCCTGGCCTTAGCAGCGATCGACCTTGTGGCACTTTCAGCGGCAGCTTAAGCGGCCAAATTGAAGGAGTTGGCTCGAGATTAATAAAGCTCACTCGGCCAACGAGCACGATCTGCAAACATAACGGTTAAGAGTTGGCCAACGAGCAAACAAACGCGCCAAAACCAAAACCGAACTTCTTTGGAGACCGACTTGTGACTCACTTGTCGGCATGCGGAAGCTGCCCAGCACGACTCCATGGAGTCGCCAATGCACTCCTACAAAATGAGTACTATATGTT